ACAGAATTGAGAGCCCAGAAATAAACCCACATGAATATGGGCAAATACTTTTTGACAAAAGAGTAAAAAAAGGTACACTGGAGAAAAGAAAACCTCTTCAGCAAATGGTGTTGGGAAAATTGAAAAGCCACCTGCAAGAAAAATGAAACTAGACTACAGTTTGTCCCCATATACAAAACTTAACTAAAATATGGACCAAATAAATAAATATAAGACTTGAAACAAAAAACTACATAGAAAAGAAACATAAGTACTAAACTTATGGACCTTGGTCTTTTAGTGGATTTTATTAATTTGACCCCAAAAGCAAGGGAAATAAATGCAGAAATAAATGCAAAAATAAATGAGTGAGACCATATCAAACTGAAAAGCTTCTGCACAGCAAAGGAAACTGCCAACAAAACAAAAAGGCAACTAATCAAATGGGAGGAGATATATGCAAACAATAGCTCTCACAAGGAGTTTAAATCCAAAATATATAAAGAACACATACTGCTCAACACCAAACAAACCAATAAACAATCCAATTAAAAACTGGGCAGAGGACCTGAAAAGTCACTTATCCCAAGAAGACATACAAGTGGCCAACAGATATATGAAATGATACTCAATTTCATTAGCTATTAGGAAAATGCAAATCAAAACTACAATGAGATACCACCTCACACCTGTTAGAATGGCTACTATCAACAAGACAATAACAAGTGTTGGAGAGGTTGTAGAATGAAAGGAACCCTCATTTACTGCTGCTGGTGGGAATGTAAGCTGGTACTGCCACTATGGAAAACAGTATTTAGGTTTCTCAAAAAAATTAGAATAGAGGTACCACATGAAAAAGCCACCCCTCTTCTGGGTATCTACCTGAAAAATTTGAAAACATTTATTTGCAAAGGTATATGCACGCCTATGTTCATTGTAGCATTATTCACGGTGGCCAAACATGGAAACAACTTAAATATCCTTCCATAGATGATTGAATAAAGGAGATGTGGTACTTATATACAATGGAATACCACTCAGCCATAAGAAAAGATTAAATATTGTCATTTGCAACAACATGGATGAATCTTGAAAATGTCATGCTAAGCAAAATAAGTCAGACAGAAAAAAATTAAGAACCATGTGATTTTCCTCATATGTTGGATATAAAACTGAAAGCAAAACATGGACAAACAAGAAAAAAAGAAACTCCTACAGGTTTTTTACCTCCTTGGTTAAGTTTATTCCTAAGAATCTTAATTTTTTGTTGCAATGGTAAGTGAGATTTTTTTTTAGTTTCTCTTTCTGAAAGTTCATTATTGGTGTGTAAAAATGCCATCAATTTCTGAGTGTTAATTTTGTATCCTGCTATGTTGCCAATTTCATTTATTAAATCTAGTTTTTTTTGGTGAAGTCTTTATGGTTTTCTATGTATAATATCATGTTATGATGCTTTTTATGTTTTCTTTTTGTCTGATTGCTATGGCTAGGACTTCTAGTACTATGTTGAATAAGAGTGGTGGAAGAAGACATTCTTGTCTTTTTCATGTTCTTAGGGGAAATGGTTTTACTTTTTGCCCATTGAGTATGATGTTGGCTGTGGGTTTGTCATATTTGGCCTTTATTATGTTGATGTATGATCCTTCTATTCCCACTTTGCTGAGAGTTTTTACCTAAAAGCGTGTTGAATTTTGTTGAATGCTTTTTTCTGTGTCAATTGATACGATCATGTGATTTTGCCTTCCAATTTGTTTACATTATGTATCACATTTATTGATTTGTAAATATTATACCAGCCTTTCATCCTTGGAATTAATCCCACTTGGTCATGGTGTATGATCTTTTTAATATATTACTGGATTCAACTTGCTAATATTTTGTTGAGGATTTTAGCATCTATGGTAATCAAGGATGTTGGCTTGTAATTCTCTTTCTTTTTAGTGTCTTTATCTGGTTTTGGAATATCCATTTGACCCAGTGATCACACTTCTAGGAATAAATCTTAATAAAAACAAAACACCAATCAGAAAGAATATATGCACCCCTATGTTCATAGAGTGCAGTTTACAATAGCTAAGATTTGTAACCAGCCCAAGTACCCATCAACAGATGAGTGGATAAAAAAGCTGTGATATATTTACACAACGGAATACTACGGGGCTATAATAAGAGGGAACTCTTACCATTTGCAATAGCATGGATGGACCTGGAGAGTATTATGTTAGCTAAATTAATCAGTCAGAGAAAGATAAGTATCACATGATCTCACTCATATGTGGAATCTAATGTACCAAAAAAACCTGGTGCATAAAATAGATCCAGAGACATGGAAACATGGAACAGACTGACAAATTTCAGAGGGAAGGCAGGGTTTAAGTGGGTGGGAAGAGATTAACCAGGGAACTTATATGCATGTATGCATAGCCCATAGTCACAGACAATAATAATGTGGGAGAGGGCTAAAGGGGGCTGATGCAAGGTGGAGGGGGTCATTGGGGGTGGGACAAAGGGGACATCTGTAATAATTTCAACAATAAATATAATTTAAAAAGAACTCATAGACACAGATAACAGCATGGTGGTTACCCAGAGTTAAGGGGGGTAAGAAAGCAGTAAAGAATATCAAATATATGGTGATGGAAAAAGACTTGACATTGGGTGGTGGGTGCACAATGCAATATACAGATGATGTATCATTGAATTGTACACTTGAAACCTATATAATTTATTAAACAATGTCAGTCCAATAAATTTAATTCCTAAGTAAATAAATAAATACATAAATCATGATTTTCATACTGAACTGAAATTTTCCTCTTTTATTCAACAAGGAAACATTTACTTAAAAAATAAAACATTTTGATACCATATTCTCCTGGTTTTATTTTTACCACCTTGCTTACTTTCTCTCAGGCTTACTTTTTTGTTGTTGTTCTTAATCCTCACCTAAGGATATTTTTTCCATTTAATTTTAGAGAGAGTGGAAGGGTGGGAGGGGTAGAGAGAGAAACATTGATTGGTTGCCTTCCAGCAGGATTTAACCTACAACCTAGGTATGGGCCCTTGACCAAGAATTAAACTGAGACCCTTTGCTATGTGGGCCAATGCTCTAACCACTGAACACTGGTCAGGGCTCAGGCTTACTTATTTATTTGTTTTAAATCTTTATTGTTGAAAGTATTGCATATTTTTCCCTACTCCCCCTCAGCCCCCATTAACCTCTTCTGGTTCACCCCCTCACCCCCAGCCCCAGGCCTTCACCACCCTATTGTTTGTGCCCATGGGTTATGCATATATATGCATATAAGTTCTTTGTTTGATCTCTTTCCAACCCCTACCCCACCCCTGGCCTTCCCTCTGAGATTCTGTTCCATGCATCTATGTCTCTGGATCTATTTTCTTCATCAGTTTATTTTGTTCATTAGATTCCACATATGAGTGAGATCATGTGATACTTTTTTAAAAATGAGTACATTCCTTTAAATATTAGTCTTCCTCAGGGTGTTACTCTAGGATTCTTAATATACTCTTCCAGGGTGACTATGTTCATTTCCTTGCCTTCAGTTACTACTTAAATATTGATGCCTGTCACATTATTACTTCAGATCATAGCTTTTTCTTGAGCTCCAAAGCTCTATGTCTTTTAGATAACTATATCTGGTTGCCTTGCAGATATCTCAAATTCAACAAATGCCAAAGTAAACTCATGATCATCCAATCTCCTCCATCTTCACTCATGATCCCTACCTACCCCCACGTACTCTATCTTGGTGAATGGTATCGATATTTACCTGGTTGCCAAGCCAAAAACCTGGGTACCACTTCAGAATTTTCCTCCAAAACCATGGATTTTATTTAAGAATCCTCTTTCTCACCTTCAATATCCAATTAATCACCAAATCCTGCTTATGTTACCTCATTGATCTTTTTAGAATCTATCCCTTTCCTCAACTCAAATTTCATCTTTCTTACTAGTGGCTATTCTCTACATCTGAAACTTATTACAATTTTCCCTGATTTTCTTCCACACCATTCCTTGAATTGTATGCTTCTTTGTCAACCTTTCAATCAGTTGTTCTCAAAGTGTAAGTTCCTAATTCAGATACATCAAAATCACTTGGAAATTTGAAATAACAAATTCTTGAGCCCCATCCCACACCTGCTGAATAAGAGCCTCTGGGGGTTGATCCCAGAAATCTATTGTTTAACAAGCCTTCCAGGTGATTCTGGTACATGGTAAAATTTGAGAACTAATAATTTAGAACTCAGCTGAGATATCACCTATTTGGGAAGCCATCTTTGACCATCCAAGTATTATATCAGGTAACCTCTTTTACACCTTCCTACCACACTTTAAAAATCCCTACTTAACACACTTAAAACACTGAATTATAATTACCAGTTTACTTACCTCTCTGTGATAATTGCCCAATTTTTTAAGAGTAAGAACAAGTACTATTTCCCACTGCAGTCACACCTTCTAGAATTCTTCCTGCACCCAGTAGGCTTCCAATAAGTATTTATTCAATGAATGAATGAAAGGAAGAAAATGTGGTCAAGATTATGGTTACCCTACATTTAGTATCAGGAGCTTAGTATGTGACTGGGGTTAAGATTCAGTCTTTATTAAGGGAACAAGACCTTTATCTATGGCTTGGGTTAAGGATCAATTTGAGGTCTGAGACAAGTAACTCTACCCATGATTAGAAGCTCTTACTATATCCAAGGTTAAGTTCAGATTTAGAGAGGATTAGAAGCTCCATCTGCATTCATAGTTAAGGCTAGTATAAGGCTCCATGTGTAACCAGTGTTGATGGTAAGTTTGATGAAACAAAAAACCCAAGGTAGCCTGTTCTAAGACTGAAAGAATGAGTATTTTAAGGAGACAACCTCAGGCTATGGTTTAGTCTGTGCTAATACTTCTATTTCAGTTCTCTAGGAGCATAATTTTAAAGGAGCAAGACAGAGGGCTGAAGGAGTGCTGCTCATTCTTTTGTCCTTCACTAAATGTTCCCACTCACCAGGCTCAGCAGCCAGGGGCCAGCCAGTACTAGATTCTAGCACTCCATGGGCGTGTACAGAGTAGGGGCGGCTGGCATTATTCTTGAACACCACAGTTAGGATATCACCAATCTCTCCTCTGAGAAGTGGACCTAATGTATGTAGAAGAAGGAAGTCTCATTAGTGGAGTAGTGGAACAGGGACATTAAAGGCATTTAAAGAAAGGGACATATAGTAAATAGGAGCTCCCCAGAATTAGGGGTTTGCCCTAAAAAAGGATCTTTCTGAGATTGAAAGTAATGAATAGTTTCATTTTTTAATTCAAAAGCCCTTAAATTGATACTGCTACCCACAGGATGAGAATACTTCATCAACAGGGCTGTGCCTCCAATTACCCTCATTTTTCCCTTCCCAACTCTCTCTAAATAATACTCCAAGTTTCTAGAGAATCATGACTCTGAATAATTGTTAATTAGGAGTGAGAGTTTGACATAGAGTACAGAATTGCTGGGCTCTCTTAAAGAGCCAGTGGGTCCCTTCTGTGCAAGGACAAGAATGAGAAAACTCATTGGCCCCCACAAAAGTAAAGAAATCGTGTCGATAATTAAACTGGGGAACAAGGCTAATACTGGTTTCCTGCACCATTTTTTTCTACTCTTTGATGTCCTACATTCCTCCTTTTTTAACATGGAAAAAATCTATCACCTTCAAAGACCTCTAGATTAGAGACCTGAGATAACCTGGTTCAGGTTGCAGCAGAAATTCATGAATTCCCCCCTTTGATTGCCTATTGTCATGGTTGATTTATAAAATATGACTATAGTTCTAGAACATCATAAAGAAAAGATGATAATGGGGAATGGGAGGCCTTCCCATTGTGACTTAGCCCCTCTAGGAACAACACAGTATTGTAGACACTAGGAGGAAAGTGAAATTCCCTTACCTAAGATTCCCAAGTGCTCCTCTGGTCCAGTCCTTGGCCGAGGGATCCTGAATGTACCATCAGTATATTCCCTGAATACAGCTTTCTTGTATCTGGAACCCAGTAGCCCATCTTTATTGCTCAGAAAGATGTGACCATAACTAGAAGATTCCAAAGAATAGTATCAGCACCTGGTTCTCAGTTCTTCAAGACCATAGGCAAGTGAGGTCAGATCCAAGTTCATGTCACAGATAGTAGAAGGAGGGGGCCTATTTCTTCTAATACCAGATTCTCACCACATTGGCTGCATACATGCAATTATAGATGGTAGATTTTAATATCTACTTATGTTCTCTTGTTTGCCATCATCCAGATATGAATATGTATTAAACTGTATATGACAAGAACAGTGGGGTAACAATCAGATGCCCTGGTCTCCAGCTCTAGCCTTGATGATGTCTTAGGTGAAATTAATTTAACAAAAGGACAAGGTACATGTAGCAGGAAAGTACTAACTGCTTCTGCTGCTAGAGGGATAGGAAGAAGTAGGAATCCAACAGATTTCTCCTTATAGAATGCTTTCTTGTTTACAAAGATATTTATTATTTATTTTATCATTTGACATTAACAATAGGCTGGTGAGGTAGGTATGTTACAGAGGTGGATTCCATGATCTAGAGGTGACAGAACATATCTTAATTAATACTGTCAGCCAGAAAGGAAGCCAGAACTTGGATTCAAGTCTGCTACTCCTGCTACTCCTCCTTCCAGTCAAGTAATTTCAAGTATACCACATCACTTTAAAGATAAGTAAACCAAGGCTCAGAAAAGGAAGTCACTTTTTCTAGGTTGCAGAACAACGTGGCAAATAGGCTTCAACCTTTAATGACCAATATACAGAGCAAGAATTGGCAAAGGGTAGGGAGAGTACCAAAAATAAACTGTATTGGAAATTGTTAAACTGTACCTCAGTTTCTATTCTCCTTTCCTTCCTTTGTAGTAATAGAAACACCTAGGTTTTTGCTGAGCACATGGCTGTCAAACCAGAGATCTCATTTCCCAAACTTTCTTGCAGCTGGGTATGGCCATATAAATAAGTTTAGGATTGCCCTAACCGGTTTGGCTCAGTGGATAGAGCATTGGCTTGTGGACTGAAGGGTCCCAGGTTCGATTCCGGTCAAGGGCATGTACCTTGGTTGCAGGCACATACCCAGTAGGGAGTGTGCAGGAGGCAGCTGATCGATGTTTCTCTCATCGATGTTTCTAACTCTCTATCCCTCTCCCTTCCTCTCTGTAAAAAATCAATAAAATATATTTTTAAAAAATAAGTTTAGGATAATGGGGTATGAGAGAAAGTGATGTACACAACTTCCAGGTCATTGCCTTACAGACAATACTGCTTTCCTTGGACTTCTTTCCCCTTACTTGATATATGGGAATTATTATATCAGGAACATGCATCTTAATTCCAGAGATGAAAGCAAGTTTTATATGTGACTAGTTCACCTACTGGCCCTGAACTGCTCATGATTATACTATTATGCTAACAAAAAATAAAATTCTAACTTATTTAAGCCACTCTATTTTTTCCTGCTATACAGCTAAGCCTGTACCATAATGACATTTGTCAAGGAACAGCTGACCTTAAGGTAATAAGTTCCTTGAGTAAATTTTCTATAAAATTTAAGTCCCAGTAGGGGTGCTTCTGGCTAACAAGAGGAAAGGAAGTGAAGATTAAGAACACAAGGCTGTGTAAGATCTTTTACTTTAGCCTTGCAGTAGAGAGATATAGAAAAAGCAATGAATTCTATACCTGCATTTTAGTCCCTGCACCAGATTTGCTGCTATCTTATTAGGTGGCTTTAGGTAAGTGTTTCTTTTTTTCAGAATTACAGTATCCTCCTTATCTCTAAAATTGTCTACAGCATCTCTAAAGTGTGACTTCTTTTTGCAGACTTA